CCAGGTGCCTGGGTCACGCAAGTGTTCATTTCTACAGTGCGCACGGCTCACAGCCATCCTGTAAACCTGTCAGGTGTGCAAGTGCATTGCATCTAGGCAAAAGGTAACAACGCAAAGGCCTTAAACATTTTACTGCTAAAAAAACCTAAGTGGGGCCTCCATGGGGCACAGGGATTAGAGTACAGCATTGTGGAGCTGGCCGCAGACCCTGCACGAGTGAGACCCTGGCCAGGGAGTGACCCCTGGGGCACAGCAGACCCCCTTTTTCCTCCACTTCTCCCTCAGCAGTGGGTCTCAGGGGATCCACCTGTTCTGCTCCCCACTCTGTCTCTGGGGCATCCTCTCACCCCGCCACTCTGGCCTGCACCCCAGCTCTTGTGTGCATAAATCAATGAATCTAAAAAGGAAAGCTGAGCATCTGAGCATTCAGCGGCTTGATCTTCTGCAGGGGTGGGGGGGCCTTTCTCAGGTGGTGTGCTTGTGATGGGTGGTGTAGGGCTGTGACCATTTTTTAAAATAAGGTGATGATGATGGTCGCTGCAACTAACCGGTGTTTTCGTGGAAGATTTCTCTGTAGCATGTGATGCTATTTAGCATTTGGCCCACAACAGAACTTCCTTCGGGACCAAGGCCAGGCCGCACAGCTTCCCAGACTCCTAGAACCTATGAGATGCAGCATGAAGAGGGCTGTGGGCACCAGGGAGACAGCCCACTGTAGAGAGGAAGGCAAGGAGGTCACCTGCCTTGCACCTCCAGGTGCTGGGTAAAGAACAAAGTAAAAAACCCGTAGAAGGAAGGAAATAAAAAATCAGGGCACCAATAAGTGCAATAGAAATAAATGAGATCCAAAGAAACCGTGGAACAGGAAGTGGCTCTTTGGAAAAACTGACAGACAGACAGACCTCTAGTTAGACTCACTGAGAGAGAAAAGGGGGATAAAAGTTAAAGAGGGCCCTCCCTGGTGGCGCAACAGGTTAAAGCGTAGCACAGCTAAGCTGGCCGCAGCCACTTCAGTGAGAGTTCCATCCTCGCCCCAGAGGTGACCCATTGGGCACAGCAGACCCCCCTGACTGGCCCACTGCTCCCCTCAGCAGTGTACTCCCCTCAGCAGTCAATCTGCCTGTTCTGCTCCCCACTCTGTCTCTGGTGAATCCTCTCACCGCCCCTGTACCTCTGGCCAGCACCCCAGTTCTGTATGCATAAATAAATTAGTTAATGAAGAAAAAGCTAATAGAATTAGAAACAAAAGACAGGACAACAGATGTTTCCCAAGCAGCAAGACCCTACAAGAGCACTGCCTCCTTGGCTGCCTGACTGAAAGGTACCTTTTTGCACACCTGTAGCAAGCAAAGAAACTGAAACAGTAAGCAAAAGTCTCCCCCAAAACAAAAGCCTGGCCCCGACAGCTGGCTTCACTGGCTAGTTCTACCCAAATGATACAAATTCTTCCAGCAATAAGAGAAAGAGGGCAGATTCCAGGCACATTTTATGAGACCAACATCACACTAATACTAAAACCTGCCAAAGACATCACAAAGAAGGAGAATTACAAATTTCCCTGATAAACACAGTGAAAAAATCCTCAACAAAGTCTCAGCAAACTGAGTTAAATACAGCAAAGCACCAAGTGGGATTTACTCCAGGGACACCAGGATGGCTCGACATCTGAAACTGAATCTATATAACTCACACGTCAACAAAAGATAAAAACCATGACAACATAAATAGATGCACAGAAAGCATTTGTTAATATTCAACATTCATCTATGCTAAAAGCCCTCAAGAAACCTAGAGATAGACAGAGGATTTCTCAACAAAGTTAAGGCCTGTGTCACAGACCCACAGACAACTTCATATCCCACGGTGGAAGCTTTTCCTCTAAGATCAGGAACAGAACAAGGATGCTCACTTTCATCACCTTGAAGCTACTGAAAGTCCCAGCTAGTGCAGTCAGGGGAGAGAAAGTCATAAAATCAACCCAAACTGGGTAAGAAGTAAAAGTAATGCTTTGCAGATGACATACTATGCATAGAAAACACTACAATAATTGAATTAACAAAATCAAATGGCAAGGTACAGAATCGTCTGGCAAAAGTCAGCTGTGTTTCTACACACAAACATCAAGCTAGAAAAGAAAGAAATCAAGACAATAATCCCATTCAAGTAATCAAGAAGATAATCCCAATCAAGAAGATAATCCCATTAAATCACTAGGAATAAATTTAACAGGAGGTGAAGGACCTATACAATGACAACCATAGACATTATTAAAAGAAAGAGAAGACACAGAAAATAAGAAGATATTCCCTGTTCCTGGGCTGGAAGAATCAGCATTATTAAAAGGGCCACCCTACCCAAAGCAACATATAGCTTC